CCATTGCTACGATGATCAAGACGCTCCACAACCCATCATTCAGGATTCTTGAGTCCTACACATGCCTATCACAATATGTGGCATACCTCATCACGTGCACTAAATGCCCCAATAACAACTATGTGAATGAAACGAGAGAATCACTAGACTCTCGAATGAACTCACACAGAAAAATGATAAAAGACAAAACGACAATATCACTCATGGTCAAACACTTTTCACAAAACTATCACTCTCTATCTGACCTCTTAGCCCTTGCCCACAAAGGCAACCTACACAACACCTTCAAAAGATGAGCCTGGGAGCTTAAATTCATAACTTTGTTTGACACTAAAAGCCATGGACTCAATAAAGACACTGGATTTATGGCTTGTTACAACAAGCTGCAACCCACTAACCCTCCTTTGTCCTCGGACAGCAGAGGTGTTAACTGCCCACTTCACCTCGAATGGTCTCTTGCAACATGTACATAAGAACAACCATCAGATTAAAGGTCCATCTAGCCCAGTATCCTGTCTTCCAGCAGTGGTCAGGATACTGGGTTAGATTTTAGTAAGAGTATGATTACCTGTTCTGATCCATTCCCTATCGCCCATTCCCAGCTTCTGGCAAAAACATAACTCCTTATGCTTAACAATGTGTTCCACCTTGTATTTAGCTGTGACACTCTGGAGTACCTTTCCCAGACCTGAAGATGAATCATAGAATCATAGAATATAAGGGTTGGAAGGGACCCCAGAAGGTCATCTAGTCCAACCCCCTGCTCGAAGCAGGACCAATTCCCAGTTAAATCATCCCAGCCAGGGCTTTGTCAAGCCTGACCTTAAAAACCTCTAAGGAAGGAGATTCTACCACCTCCCTAGGTAACGCATTCCAGTGTTTCACCACCCTCTTAGTGAAAAAGTTTTTCCTAATATCCAATCTAAACCTCCCCCACTGCAACTTGAGACCATTACTCCTCGTTCTGTCATCTGCTACCATTGAAAACAGTCTAGAGCCATCCTCTTTGGAACCCCCTTTCAGGTAGTTGAAAGCAGCTATCAAATCCCCCCTCATTCTTCTCTTCTGCAGGCTAAACAATCCCAGCTCCCTCAGCCTCTGTGTAAGCTTGAAAACGTGTCTCTTTCACCAACAGAAGTTGTTGGTCCAGCAAAAGGTATTATCTCTCAACCACCTTGTCTCTGTACTATATATACATATAGCGTCTAGCACCAGGATTCTAGTAAGAGTATCTAGGTGGTACTATAAACACAAAATAAATAATCTGGGATCCAGGATGTCTTTGTTAAAGACACAGCACTTTCACCTTTTCTATTAAGTTGTTAAATTGGCAAATACAATTAGATCTTCTCTTCACTGGCTGTAAAACTCTTACTAATATGGTTCAAACATAGTTGTAGCAAAATTGAGTTTAGGATAATTGTAAGGCTTGTCTCAAACAGTTTTTTTAAAGTGTACATCTAATGCAGTTCTGCCCCCACCTGCATTTGTGCAGACCACTCATACTATTGTAAACCAGTTCTCATTGCACAGGAGTTTCAATCATGTTTTAAAAGTTTTAAAATGCAATTCTACAGACAGTAAAGCAGGCGCTATTTGAATCAATTTGTAGTAACGTTTACTTTTAGAATATAAAAGAGCTTTTTATCTTTCCACAAGCATACCTATCACAATAATTCAACTTTTATTAACATTAAAAATACACAGTTTTCTAAAAAAAAGAGTATGCTCCCCAATCAAGTTTCTTTGATAATTGGTGGAGGGTATTTACCCAGCATTCAAATTCCCAATATCCAAGGTTTTCAGATATGCTTATTTTCCCAGTTTCTAGAAACAGTTCCATCACAATGAACAATCCTTTTTCATAATTTATCAAAATATTTTTAAAAATCCATTAAAAGATATCAGTAAGGCACAGCTGACAAAAACAAGGTAATTTATATTCAATTTAGATGGAATAGATTCCCTTAGCTCAACAGCAATCTTTTAAACTGGGCTGTCCAGTTCAGGGAAAATCAGCCCTACACAAACGCTTTGGTGGTTTTGGTTTACAAACATCTCATAAAGCAGAACTGAGAAGGAAACTAGATAAAGTAAGGTGCCCTGAGAGGAGCTTTGATATCTAAACAAAATAAAAATAACTTGGGACAATAAAATGGATAACAGACACAAGTTTGCACCCACAGGGAGAAAGAAAGTGCCAAGCAAGATTTAATCATAGAATATCAGGGTTGGAAGGGACCTCAGGAGGTCATCTAGTCCAACAACCCCCTGCTCAAAGCAGGACCAATCCCCAATTTTTGGCCCAGATCCCTAAATGGACCCTTCAAGGATTGAACTCACAACCCTGGGTTAAGCAGGCCAATGCTCAAACCAGGCTGCAGAGGTCCCAGCTACAAAAGCAGAAATTGGTGAAACAAAGCACTCAAAGCAAGACATGCTAGACTAGAAGCCCTGGAAAACCTTGCCAGGTTTTGAAGCTTCTGAAATTTAGAGAAAAGTGACAGTGTGAAGCCCTCTAAACTGTTACGTTAAAATCCAATTAATTTGAGACTCAAGCCAGAAAATGACTCTTTATACACAGAGCAGCGCTACCGCATAGTTCAGGGAAAAGAATGGATGTGAATGACAGAGGGAAGATCCAACAGGTACCAGGAATAAAAATAAATAACTAAGAGTTTGAATCTGAAGGACAAACCGTGTGGCTTTTTACGGACTTGAGTAAAGTAAAATTTCCTTACTGATACAAACATTCATCACTAAAGAAACTGACATTTCTGCCCTTCAAAGTTCAGGGTTATATACAAAGGACTTTTATATTTTCAAACTCAAAGCCTGCTCCAAAACTGTTGTATAGACTTAAAACAAGAAGTATGGCAGAAGATATGGGCTCCTTATACAAGAGAAAGGAGACTGAACTTTTGTTACGTATTAGCTCTAACCTTATGCTTTAGTTGGAAGCATGCAGAGTTTGGCTTAATGTTACAGTTAATGGTTCTAATATTTTCAGTTTATGCTCTGTTATTGTAACAGATTATTTAACAGACTTTTCCAGAACAACATGAAAGAACTTTTCCTTCATGAAAGACCATTATTTCTCACTCCTTACAGATTTAGAGACCAATTCTTACTCAAGCAAGTACTTTGATAGGATTATTAATTTGCAACCCCTCAAAAGCATGGCTGCCCGAAACAGCTTCCAATCTTATATCATGTGACAAAATAAAACGAAGTGGGGAAGGGGTTCAGAGAGAAAAACAATAGAAATCACAGCAATAAGATTATACAGTTACTCAGCAAAGGTAAGTGCATAGCATGTCTGAACAATTTTTTAAAATAGTTTTTAATCAATATGCTACTTAAATAAAAATAAATTGTCTTGGCTGACTCGCTTCTTGTGGGTTTCATGTTAGAAGTGGTGCTTTTAGGAGGGATTTGAACAAGGGGAGAGCGATGACCTGGCAAATAAGTTTGGGGAGCATATTGTGCACATAGGTGGCAGTGTGGAAAAAGGTACGGAGTGAGCACTAATCATGAGGGTTTGCACGATTGGACCCTTATTAAGGAGACAAGAGGTAGCTGAGATGCATGCACACACTTCTGTCAATATATTGAACCTATTGCTGATACAAACAACAGCTGAAATTATAACTGAATGGTTAGAGGAAAATAATTATCCTGTGTCTTTATATTATGTATTCAGTAGTACTTTGGGCCTGATATGATTTTAAGACCGCATCATCTAATCCTGCTCAGAGCTGGTTTAATAAACACAGACAGTAATACCCAATATGAAGGCTGCCATTTTATATTAAGGCTCCCAAAGTGACTAATTCTGGTAGAGCTGATGCAGCGCAAGCAACAGAAGAATTTTTTTGAAAGTTATCCTGATGTAGACTGGGACCTTCTGTAGGAATGGGTTTGTTTGTGCCTTGTGTGTAGTAGTGTGTCGGGGTGGACAGCACTGTGTTCCCCCTCTCCCTTGGGTATGGTGAGTTTTCTATATCTGCATAATAGTTTCACTTGTAGGAATGGGTTATTTTGGGTCACAATCTCTGCCTGCAGGGACAGGAAGAGAATCCCTCCCCTTGAAAAGATTTTGGAAGAGGGATATTTTCCTGTGTGTTTTACACTCCCTAGAACGCAAAAAGAAAAGGAGTACTTGTGGCACCTTAGAGACTAACCAATTTATTTGAGCTCACGAAAGCTCATGCTCAAATAAATTGGTTAGTCTCTAAGGTGCCACAAGTACTCCTTTTCTTTTTGCGAATACAGACTAACACGGCTGTTCCTCTGAAACTCCCTAGAACGTATAGGTGGGATTTTACTCTCGTATGTGTGCATCTATAAAAAGCATTGTCTACTCTAGAAACTCAGAAATAAAATTTCTGTTAGTTCCACTAAAATGGTGTGAGCATAACAGAGGAAAGTGTACACAAGCTTCCCATGGCAGGACCAATTTTTACCATTGTTCAGTTACACTTGCTTTTACCATTAATTACAATGGCAGTAAAGAGGTCCAGCCGTTGAAACCTTGTCTACACAACATCTCTCAAGAATGTTAAACCTAGTGGGAATTTTCCCCCAAAATTTCTACAGCGTAGACACAGTCTCTCCATCAAGGAAAAGGGGAGGAGGATGAAGTTGTTGCGAGTTACACCGCGCCTCCTTGGAAAAGGAAAATGACAGCGTTCGTCACTGTCTGTCTCCCAGGGATCAGTGATTTTGTTGTGTGTGTTACACCTTCTTCCCATGGGGGAGCCCAGCAGCGGGCGTTAGCGTCTCCCGAGCAGGGGAGTGTGGAGAGAAGATCATTTTGCTGTATAGGTTTATTACAGTCGGTCTCCGGGGTGGGGGGAGGATTGTGTCTCTCTCGGGGGCGGAGGAAGGATTCTGCTAAGTGGTGTTTTTGGTAAGGCTGCCGCCTCCGGGGAAAGATACGTTAGTGGGTTTTACAAGGAAACTTTCACCGCCACGCACAGAGTGGGGAACTCACTCACCTCCGCTCAGCAGCGTGCAGGCAGCCCTGGGCGCCGCCATCTTGAACAGATGGGCCAGCGTCACGTGGGCACGGGCGGCTGGGGCGGGGGTGGGGGACCTGCCCGGCGGGAGGGGCGCGCAGCGCACGCACACCCCGCCCTCCCGGCTGGTCGCGGGTAACCGATGCTGCAGCGCCCCGACCCCCAGCCCAGCCTGGCTGAGCCACTCTGCCCGCCGGGCTCGGAGCAGGGAGCGCCTGGGGCTTTGCCCCGCTCTCAGCCGGCCCGGCGGTCCCTGGAGCGCGGCTTTCCCGGCCGAGGTTCCTTGGAGAACGGAAGCGGGAGAGCGAGCTTAGAGGAGAGCCCGCCCCCGCCTGGGGCTGCCGCCTCGCCCCGCCCCGCCCCGCCCGCTGCCCCACCGGCCTGCCGCCGCCTGGGCCAGCTGAGGGCCACTGTCGGGTGTCCTCATGCGCCCTGGTCACTCGGCTCCTTGCCCAAGGCCTCTAGCCCCCGCGGCCCGCTCCGAGAGTGCTACGCTTCGCAGGGCAGAAGTCCCCAAGCCGCCTCCCTACAGCCCCCAGCTGAACGGGTCGCTGGTGGCCCACCGCCCTTTCCCGAGCCCTCCCTTCCCTTCCTCCGCACCCCCCTCCTTACTGCCAGTGCTCACAAGGGAAAGTCATGAGCCTGCTGCGGCCTCCTGCTTCTAAGCCGCTGTAGCACTGGAGGAGGCAGCTAGCTTGGCCTCGCCCCTGTTACAGCCGCTTTTGCAGGCATCCAACTGAGCTCCTCTTGATAATATTGAGGTTGGACAGCTCTTAAAGTGAGGAGGTGGAACAAGCAGCACTGGAACCTGCCAGACCGTCTCTGAGCTCCGTTCAGAAAGTGCGTCACAGAGCAGGGCTTGAAAACTTTCCCAAGGCCCCGTCTCCACTGGCAAGTTTGTGCGCAGTAAAGCAGCTTTGAGTGCTGTAACTCCCGAGGTGCACACACGGCCAAGCCACATCGTGCACAGAAACCGCGCAGCTGCAGTGCTCTAAAAAAACCACTCCAAGGGACGTAGAGCTTTCTGCACCAGGGCTACAGCACTGCAGTGCCCGTGTAGACACCGTGGTGATTACAGAGCTGTGCCTGGAACTCCGGGAGGTGTCCCACGCTGCCTGTTCTCACCTCTCTGGCCATCGGTTTGAACTCAGCTGCCATGCCCTCAGGTGATCAACCAGCAGCCCTATCCCGTATATTCCTTTGCAAATTTGAAAGTCCCCTTCCTGTTTGCTCAGTGATGCGTGCCGTGGTCACAGTGCAGCTTTCCAGGTGGGCATGCCTGCTCCATGCAGGCATGCCTGCTCCATGCACCAGGCGATCCTCTGCTTAGAGCAATGCTGAGCTGCTGGACCTCATCGGCATTTGGGGAGAGGAGGCAGTGCAATCACAGCTGCGCTCCAGCCATCAGAATTATGATACCCACGGTGCATTTCTAGATGCATGACAAAAAGGGGCCACGACTGGGACACCCTGCAGTGCAGGGTCAAAGTGAAGGAGCTGCAGAATGCCTACCACAAGGCACAGGAGGCAAACCGCCACTCCGGTGCTGCGCCCACAAGCTACCAGTTCTACAAAGAGCTGGACACAATACTCTGGTGACCTCACCTCCACTGCAAAGGAGCCTGTGGATACTTCGTTGGCTTGTGTGCCAATCGAGAGTGGACCGAGCCAGGAGGCGGCGGCAATCTTGGACCAAGAGGGGGAGGGGTCCCAGAGGCAGAGGATGACTTGTAGGCCAGAGATGCATGCAGTCAGGAGCTCTTTTCTACCCTGGAGGAGCTTAGCCAATCACAGCAGTCGGATCTTGGCAAAGCACAAACAGGAGAGGAGGCCCCTGGTAAGTGGATCTGATTTTGGGAATTACTGAAGCGAGTTGTTGGGGGTAGGAGAGTTGCAGAAAGCAGGCTTGATTCCCACCTCATGCCTAGTCTGAAGGGCAGAACAGGCTGTTGATACACTCCCTCACTTAATGGGAATCTCCCTCAGATCTCCAGGAAACTCTCGTGGAGATACTGGGCAATCTGCTGCTACAGTTTCTTCAGCAGAGCTGCTTTTTTTTCTTGCCCCATGAACGGTAACTTTCCCGTGCCTCTTTGCCATGACGGGTGGGGGGAAAATTGCTGCCCACAGGCTAGCTGCATAGGTGCCAGGAAGGATTATCAGGTCCACCCTACAGTGCTGGCTCTCGCCAAGAGCCACGTGCCAAGAGTACAGCAGGGTCCGGGAACAGTGATTTACCCTGCCTCTGCAGCTACTCATCATTTTGGGGGTCTTGTGGCTCATGGGTGCTTGCCTGGGGTCAGCCAGTTAGTGACAGGTGTGTGAGTACTGGCTGTGTTTTAAAGCACTGAATCAGTGTTGTCTGTGTTGCAAACAATACTGCTTCTGTAAAATGTTGCATTTAAACTTCACAGAGATGACCTTCGGAGCACAGCCTCCCTCTTTGTTATCGGCGGCAGAATGGCTGCGCAGAATTAGAAAGCGTCCAAGAAGAACTACGGAGGACTTTATGCATGAGGTTATTATGCACTCCACCACAGAGAAAAAAGAACTGAAGGAGTGGCGGGACAGCGAGAAGAGGGACCGAAAGGACAACGCGGCACACCAGAAAGAAGCTATGGAGTGCCAAGTAGTCACACTAGAGGCAATACTAGCTCTTCAAACCAAGCAGCTCCGCGCCTGCCCTCCCTTGCAGGCGCTGTCAAAAACTCTTTCCCATGCACCTCCCACACACCAGCAACACACTGTTATCAACCTCCTGGCTCCACTCTCTACCCATAGCATTCCACTTCTCCCTCCTCACAATCCAGCAGTGTGGACTCCCACTACCCACTGCACTCAACACCCATCCATCTGCAGTTTGGTTCTGCTGAAGTACAGCACCCGCTGCATCATACTCCAAAGGAGAAGGTTGGGTATGATCCCTGGACATACACAAATCTATAGCCATCCCAGGACCCCGCCTCCTCCTCTTGAGACCTTCCCTTCCCCCATGCCCACTGATTTTTTGTTTGACTCTCTCCTCTGGTGGTTGTTTTTCAATAAAAGAATTGTGTTTGTTTGAAAGCAATCTTTATTCTATTAACTGAAAGCAAAAACAGCACTGCAAAACAACATACAATTATGTTTAGGCCTCTTCTTGCATCATGTGCACCAATCACCTACTGGCATTACAAGCACTGCAATCCCGAGCATAGCAACAAATATTAGTAGCTTTCAGCATCAAATTGCTGCCTCAAAGCATCCCTGATCCTTATGGCCACACGCTGTGCCCCTCTAATAGCCCTGGTCTCTGGCTGTTCAAACTCAGCCTCCAAGCGCTGAGCCTCTGCGGTCCAACCCTGAGTGAAGCTTTCACCCTTCCCATCACAAATATGGAGCGTACAGCACGCGGCTGTAAGCATAGGAATATTGTCATTGACCATGTCCAGCTTCCCATACAAGCATTGCCAGCGGGCTTTTAAATGGCCAAATGCACACTCCACAGTCATTCTGCACTTGCTCAGCCTGTTGTTGAACCGCTCCTTGCTGCTGTCAAGTTGCCCTATGTCATAAATATAAAGGGAAGGGTAAACCCCTTTGAAATCCCTCCTGGCCAGGGGAAAGCTCCTCTCACCTGTAAAGGGTTAAGAAGCTAAAGGTAACCTCGCTGGCACCTGACCAAAATGACCAATGAGGAGACAAGATACTTTCAAAAGCTGGGAGGAGGGAGAGAAACAAAGGGTCTGTGTCTGTCTATATGCTGGTCTTGGCCGGGGATAGACCAGGAATGGAGTCTTAGAACTTTTAGTAAGTAATCTAGCTAGGTATGTGTTAGATTATGATTTCTTTAAATGGCTGAGAAAAGCATTGTGCTGAATAGAATAACTATTTCTGTCTGTGTATCTTTTTTGTAACTTAGGGTTTTGCCTAGAGGGGTTCTCTATGTTTTTGAATCTAATTACCCTGTAAGATATCTACCATCCTGATTTTACAGGGGGGATTTCTTTATTTCTATTTACTTCTATTTTTTATTAAAAGTCTTCTTGTAAAAAACTGAATGCTTTTTCATTGTTCTCAGATCCAAGGGTTTGGGTCTGTAGTCACCTAGGCAAATTGGTGAAGCTTTTTACCAAACCTTGTCCAGGAAGTGGGGTGCAGGGTTTTGGGAAGTATTTTGGGGGGGAAAAGAAAAGGAGTACTTGTGGCACCTTAGAGACTAACCAATTTATTTGAGCATGAGCTTTCGTGAGCTACAGCTCACTTCATCAGATGTATACCGTGGAAACTGTAGCAGACTTTATATACACACAGAGAATATGAAACAATACCTCCTCCCACCCCACTGTCCTGCTGGTAATAGCTTATCTAAAGTGATCAACAGGTGGGCCACTTCCAGCACAAATCCAGGTTTTCTCACCCTCCACCCCCCCACACAAATTCACTCTCCTGCTGGTGCTAGCCCATCCAAAGTGACAACTCTTTACATAATCAAGTCGGGCTATTTCCTGCATAGATCCAGGTTTTCTCACATCCCCTCCACCCCCATACACACACAAACTCACTCTCTTGCTGGTAATAACTCATCTAAACTGACCACTCTCCAAGTTTAAATCCAAGTTAAACCAGAACATCTGGGGGGGGGGGTAGGAAAAAACAAGAGGAAACAGGCTACCTTGCATAATGACTTAGCCACTCCCAGTCTCTATTTAAGCCTAAATTAATAGTATCCAATTTGCAAATGAATTCCAATTCAGCAGTTTCTCGCTGGAGTCTGGATTTGAAGTTTTTTCGTTTTAAGATAGCGACCTTCATGTCTGTGATTGCGTGACCAGAGAGATTGAAGTGTTCTCCGACTGGTTTATGAATGTTATAATTCTTGACATCTGATTTGTGTCCATTTATTCTTTTACGTAGAGACTGTCCAGTTTGACCAATGTACATGGCAGAGGGGCATTGCTGGCACATGATGGCATATATCACATTGGTGGATGTGCAGGTGAACGAGCCTCTGATGGTGTGGCTGATGTTATTAGGCCCTGTGATGGTGTCCCCTGAATAGATATGTGGGCACAATTGGCAACGGGCTTTGTTGCAAGGATAAGTTCCTGGGTTAGTGGTTCTGTTGTGTGGTATGTGGTTGTTGGTGAGTATTTGCTTCAGGTTGCGGGGCTGTCTGTAGGCAAGGACTGGCCTGTCTCCCAAGACTTGTGAGAGTGTTGGGTCATCCTTTAGGATAGGTTGTAGATCCTTAATAATGCGTTGGAGGGGTTTTAGTTGGGGGCTGA